TAGGGCTGCTTTGGGTTTAGGTATTGTCGACATGTTCATTTTCCTCAAGAAAAAGTATGCAGTGACTTATATAGCGTCATGGTAACACAATTAAAAGTATAGTTCAAGTGTGTGGAGACTTTTAAAGCAATGCTTCTGTGATTTTTAAATTAAAACACAGATGACAAGAAATGGATGTGAGGTTTATATTTGCTGATAATTTGATAGATTTCAGGTGTTTGTAAGCTAGTTTCATTTTTATGTTTTTTATACGTTAATTTAACTACTATTTGAAGTCTTATATGGTATCATCACTTAAAGATGTAATGTATTTTAAAGAAATAAATGTTAACAGTAATTATTGTATTGTTTTTGTAAAATGTATTGCAATATGGATAGGCGATGAAATATTTTCCTTAATAAGAGGGAATTCAAAGAAGGAAAAACTGAAGAGTTATGTTTTCAGGAATGCCTTTAGAAAGTACTCTCTTTCCTTAAAAACCTGTCCTTAAATGACGCGTAACACCACCAACCATACTGTGACTGGAGAAGACGAAACGATAAGCTTTTCGTTAACAAGACACAAAGCAACACAAAATAGTCTTTAGAACAGTATATGCTTTTTGATAAAAACAGCAGCAATGTATTTAAGATATGAAGTCTGAAAGAGTCTTAAGAAGTCTAAAGGTGTCTAAAACAGTCTATGAAATCTAAAAAAGTCTAAGAAGTCTAAAGGAGTCTAAGAAGTCTAAAGGTGTCTAAGACGTCTTAAATAGTCTTGGTAATCTAAAAGAGTCTAAGAAGTCTAAATGTCAAATCTCCCCAATATAGAGGAGACTCTCAATTGTGGAATAGCTGATTATAGTAAATACGAGAAAAAAACTTCTCCTAGATAGAACGTGGTTTCTGGTTTCTATATTAACTGCTTAGTAAATAAATAGATATTCCATCTTACAGACTCGCACCGATCGTAAATCTAGTTCTATATGGGGACAGACGCAGTCTATTCAACTGAACGCTGATTATTATAAACTGGTGTCGTTTACAATATTTGCTGGAGACGGGATTGGAAACAAATGATGGACAAACAATACAACTTTGATTGGCAGGTAAATTATCCTCTTTTATCTGTGATTCGTTTCTTGTTTAGTGCCCAAAGAATATGGCACGCCGTTCTATCTAAACTGAATGTGATGTTCTTACCAAAGCCTATACTTTTCTCCAGGTGGCATTTTATTACCCAAGTCGGAGATGAAAATCAATCAATCTAAAAACCAACTGTGCTATATCGTATCTTACAGAGAAATAGTAGACGTATATATAAGTCGGTACAAATGACTACAACGTCTCAGTTGATCGCCAATATCGTTTTAGACGGATCTCAGTGGGTAGAATGACTATCGCCAATATCCTTGTCTGTACTAAATGTATTGTAAATATTGGGTATGTCGAACAAATATATTATTCGCTGACGTAAAATTTGACGAAAACATAGGATTTCAATTTTGGCTCTATGTTACTGTATATAATTACAGTAATGCGATCTTGATCACAGCATCTTGATTGCTAGAACCTGTCCAATTGTCAGCATCATAAAATCAGAGTCATTTCTAGACGCGAGGCAATCAAGATCCTATTACTATGATCATACTGTTTATATGTTTTATATTTAATAATAAAAAAAAAATTTCTTAAGATTTCCACCTTTCTGATATGAACTTCACCTTAAGTCATAGACCGAATTTTATTTATTTAACAGCTGATATGCGCATGAATATCAGAATAAAGCGTGTAAATTAACACAAGTTCTTCGATGCATAGGTGATTAACGGTCATTGTGCAGTTGTCAAATTTTGCATCACAGAAGATATCATCAGCTGAATTATTAGGAAAGTTTATACGGAGGCTCAGCTGATAGTTTTTGACTTGTTTCTGACGGGACATTGCGAGAGGCTCTGATAGGAACGACAGCACTATTTGGACAGTTATTTACAGCAGGATTTAACAAAATTGATTGAAAATTGATTAAACAGATTTGTTAAAGAGAATGTTACTTATTTTCATTTAGATGTCAATTGAGGCCACGTGGTAATACGGAATCAGAAGGAGCCAGTATCGTTTTTCATCTTTTGGGATTTGAGGTGAATTTTATGGATAATTCTTGAGTAGAAAACTGACAGGTTCACAATGAAAGCAATTATGGTACTAGACAAGTTAAAATATTATCAGAACCGAGGTTATATGATATTTGTACCTAGGTATCCATTTAAAGCTCTGTTACATTTCTGCGATTATTTGCTTGATTAATGGAACAAGTAATAGGAATATATTTCTCAAACCGAGTAATCAGCCTGACATAAGAGACTTTATGTTACCATGGTTTCCAAAACGGTACTTCAAATAATTTCCTAACATACCGTGTTCTTGGAATATTATCAAGTATAAGTGTCTGGTCTTTGGGGGTGGGTAATTCTACGCATTAGCTGTTTGGGCCGTAATTTTGAAGCACGTTGCATGAAATATCAATCTACAGTCTAGAAAAACGGAACAAATGTGGCGCAAGAATAAAGAAAAAAAAACCCTATGGAAGTGGATAATAAACGTTTTATGAATACTTGGTTGTTCGCTGATTTAGATGAAACTTCAGCATACAACGACAGTTGCCTTGATGATCCTTGAATAGAGCAACCATCGGCCTCAAGCTAGCCTCAGTTAGGTGTTGCCCGATTCGCTTGATGTTACAATATATAAAGCGGTACATTTTGAAGAATTTACCTGGGCGATCTCGCTCCACACCCACAATTTGAATTTATTTCTTCAGCGCTCAATTTCCCGCTTTAAATGTACATGCAATATTACGATTTACAGCAATTCATCCATACAGGCCAAGTGCAATTCAGCACCTTTTAAACCTTTTAAAATAATACAGCTTAAAGACATTTTCTGAGATAGAGTGAGGAAAAGAAAATATACTTGTCAAGATCAAATTTCAATAAAAAATAAATTACGTAAATTACAATTGCAGCGTAATTTAGTAAGTCAAAGCTCTCAAAATTAAACATCGCTACTCTAAGCACCTACATTTCTGGTCCTGATTCATTTTTTTTTCACAACCGAGTCTATATTTTTAAAATATTGTTGTTACTGTTGTTAAGATCGGCTATACATGCGGTTAGTAAAACTGGTGGAGGAAAATCCCTGTAAGAACCACCGACCCATTCGCTAGCTTTCTCACATATCCACATTAGCCGAGACTGAGACTCGAACTCGCGCGAATACAGGTTAGTTGGCAGTGAACAATGAAGGCGAGCGCTGTAGACCACCAGCCCGTCAGGGCCCGGATTTTAAAATAGTATGCTTTTATTGTTTTCTATAAATACGGTCGGGTAATTGCAATTCAAATTCCCAGTGATTAGTGAATGCGAGCGCTTTAGACCACAAGGTCATCCGAGCCCCGAATTTTAACATATTATGATTTTATTGCTTTCTATAAATACGTCCCCGTAATTGCAATTTCACAATTCCCACAGAGCATTGGCACTGACCGGTGTAGAGGACACAGTCTTGATATCGTGGCCTTCACATGTGGCTTGAGACAGTTTTGTGTGTGTGTGTGTGTGTGTGTGTGTGTGTGTGTGTGTGTGTGTGTGTGTGTGTGTTGATTGGCAGGAACTGGGATTGGTTGGTTAGATAATTTGTAACACAGCAAAACAAATAGGTTATTTAGTATAGAGGCAATAAAAGCAAAGTGGCGTTGTCAAGGAGACACCAAATAGACGAAACATGCTAATATGATGGTAGTGAAATATGACAACTAGTAATAGTGAAATATGAGAACTAGTAAAATAGTTAAATATGACAACTAGTAAGAGTGAAATATTACAACTAGTAATGTGTGTGTGTGTGTGTGTGTGTGTGTGTGAGAGAGAGAGAGAGAGAGAGAGAGAGACAGAGATATGCTAATATGAGAACTAGTAAGATAGTTAAATATTACAACTATTAAGAGTGAAATATTACAACTAGTAATGTTTGTGTGTGTGTGTGTGTTTGTGAGAGAGAGAGATGCTAATGTGATAGTAGTGAAATATGACAACTAGTAATAGTAAAATATGACAACTAGTAAGAGTGAAATATTACAACTAGTAGTGTGTGTGTGTGTGTGTGTGAGAGAGAGAGAGAGAGAGAGAGAGAGATATATGCTAATATGATGGTAGTGAAACATGGTGAAATATGAGAACTAGTAAAATAGTTAAATATTACAACTAGTAAGAGTGGAATATTACAACTAGTAATGTGTGTGTGTGTGTGTGTGTGTGTGTGTGTGAGAGAGAGAGAGAGAGAGAGAGAGAGAGAGAGAGAGAGAGAGAGAGATGGATGCTAATATGATGGTAGTGAAACATGGTGAAATATGAGAACTAGTAAAATAGTGAAATATGACAACTAGTAAGACTGAAATATTACAACTAGTAATGTGTGTGTGTGTGTGTGTGTGTGTGAGAGAGAGAGAGAGAGAGAGAGAGATATGCTAATATGATGGTAGTGAAACATGGTGAAATATGAGAACTAGTAAAATAGTTAAATATTACAACTAGTAAGAGTGAAATATTACAACTAGTAATGTGTGTGTGTGTGTGTGTGTGTGTGTGTGTGTGTGTGTGTGTGAGAGAGAGAGATGCTAATATGATGGTAGTGAAACATGGTGAAATATGAGAACTAGTAAAATAGTGAAATATGACAACTAGTAAGACTGATATATTACAATTAGTAATATGTGTGTGTGTGTGTGTGTGATTTGTATTTTTAACGTAGCTTTAGAAATTTTTCAGTCATATCGCTATGATGTCTGCAGTGTTGCATTTGACAGTGAAATATAGCATTGGGGCATCATGCCACAGACATGTAGCATGATGTCCAACCCAGTAACATTATCTTAACACCAGACCAACCAGTTCTAACACTAACCTCTTAAAACTGAGCGCATAGCGGGGCAGCAGCAAGTACAATTTTGAATATCTTTGGTACGACTCGACCAGGGTTTGAACTTACGACCTCCCGCACCCGAGGCGGGCGCATCAACCACTAGTCTATCGAAGCGGGCAACTAGCAAGAGTGAAAATGACAACTAGTAATAGTGAAATATGACAAATAGGGTTGAAGTTTTAGAAAATGAAAACGATCTGTTCCAGAACATTTTACCCCACTCCCTTCCAAGTCAGAATCATTTGTATTGCTTCTGAAGTCATCACACATTGTTTGAGTTTTGGAATACGTTGTGCCTTTCACATGAAACACCACTCATATGAAATAAATACAGTTAATTTTATTCTTCTACTACATAATATATTAATTAAAGCTAGGTGGGATGAATCACCGTTAGTTTCCAATAGCAAAGTAATCATCAAGCATGCCAAGACTGATTACAGGATTGTAAATTAGAATTCATGTTCCATTGATTCAGTTACACAGATTGCCATATTTATTTTTGTCATGAATTTATCCCATTAAATAAATAAATTGCACTCCAAAATGTAGTACAGAAAACATTGAAAATATCCATATTTCACAAGTATAATGGGTACAATGTATTCGATACTGAATAACCTACAGCCTTCGTACTAGAGGATGTATATTAAAAACAAGTCAAACCTACACAACGGGTAATCTGTAAGGTCCAACCACCTGCCGTAAACAAACACGGTTTACCGATCACTTGTACCAAACAGCCACAGTTCACAGCTGACGTGAACCAAATTTTGGAAGATAAAAAGAAAAATACTATTAAGCAGGTACTTGTTTTTAAAATGGCCTTACGTTTCATCACTTCATCAAGAGGCTTGTCAGACATATTGGACTACATGTATATTATGTATTCTACTGCATAGAAGCACATTAATAAAACATACACTTCACACCTGTGTGGTACCTGGTTTGGTCCACCATTCTGGAATGTACATTGCAAGAGCAAAGGTTTGCTCCATGTTTTCTCAGGTGTCTTAATCAACCTCAAATATCCAAAGTAGTAGTAGTAGTAGTAGTAGTAGTAGTAGTAGTAGTAGTAGTAGTAGTAGTAGTAGTAGTAGTAGCAGCAGTAGTATTACTACTACTACTACTACTACTACTACTACTACTACTACTAATAATAATAATAATAATAATAATAATAATAATAATAATAATAATAATAATTGACTGAAACTCATTTAGCTGAGTGCAACTGGCCTCCATTGTTCTATGGCTTTCAGAATTTATATAATTCAGTATCGAAACTTTTTATTAAGGCATAAACAAGTGCTAAGGTAATGAAAATCACTTTCCATGACAAATTTTCTTTCAAACAAATATATGACATAAAAAATTGCACTCGATTGCGCTACTTGAGCATATAATTTCACTTAGACTTTAGTTATTTAATTAACATGTCTTCAAGCTCATTTAATAAAGCAATCAATCTTAAGGGATAAAAGCTATCAATCAATAACAGCTCAATACCAAGACATTTATACAAAACATTGCACGTTTCCTATTATTACTTCAGGTGTCAGGATATTTCTATTACAGAGAGCAATCAAGTACAGAAATCTTGCATGGCGTAATAGTTCAATCATACACCTAATATTTAGTCAAATCAAGAAAGCAATGTTAAATCTCTGGGAAAGAAACGAACCAGTTAATTATCTCCACATGACGCTATCCAAATTGGAATAAAGGTATAAATATGAAAATGTACCAAACATTATGCATGGTGTTAAAAAAAATATATAAAAATGTATGTTGCACAAAGCAATAAATGCGTATGTATGTAGTTGTTGTTGCTGGGCTTAACGCAATTTTTCAGCACTTGATAGGCTATTCATGGCGGCCAGTATTAATAGTGGAGGAAGAAACCGGAAAATCACCGGAAAGAACCAACGACCCACGAGAAGCTACTGGCAAGCTTTCGCACATATCCACATTCACCGAATCCTAGACTCGAACACACGTAGACAGAGGTGAGATGGCAGTGATCCGTAACGGACAGCGCTTTAGAGCACTCGGCCACTCGGGGCCCCCCGTATGTATGTATGTATGTATGTATGTATGTATGTATGTATGTATGTATGTATGTATGTATGTATGTATGTATGTATGTATGTATGTATGTATGTATGTATGTATGTATGTATGTATGTATGTATGTATGTATGTATGTATGTATGTATGTATGTATGTATGTATGTATGTATGTATGTATGTATGTATGTATGTATGTATGTATGTATGTATGTATGTATGTATGTATACCATTACATCACCGAAGCCAATGATAGCAATTTTCAATCACTAATGCTTTTTTTTCAGAAAAAAGGTAAATGTGAAATTCTTCTTGAGGCTCTTAAATTGTTTTAAAGGGCTTGTCTGGCGTAAGCAATTTTGGATGAATATGGAAAAGTGATTATTTCTGACTCTATATAATTACGTTGTTAAACAACTCTGATAAGCAAATGAACATTGATCCATATCTCTCTCAATTCTTTGCATATAACATCCAGCAAATACATTATCTACCGCTCCTATATCTGACTGGAATGGAGAAAAAAACAATCAGATTCCGCCTTCTGTTTATAAGTTTAAATAACTGAGAACAATATTCACAGCCTCCGTAGATACTATAGCAAGTTTTACGTCAGTTTCTCAAACTTATCTCGTTGACACACGTGTCCATCTTCCAAGTCAATTCACATGGACATAAAGGAAGTCATCAGATTGATTACCCAAGATATCTTACTAGTTCTCTTATTAGTCCACCAATTAAAGTTGGCACGGGAAGTGCTCTCTTATTAGGCCATATATTTAAATTAGCACGGGCAACACTCTTTCATTCCCAAGAGGGTACTTATTCAAGGCACTGCTTCGGCTAGGTACATATCCCAAAAAGTAAAAAAAAAAACATTTGCTTAATGAATACAATAAATCAGTTACATTGAGAAGACTTTTTTGTGCAAATGTGATTAATTTTAATTGAAGTTATCGGCAAACCTTATATTGCCCGAAGCACTCAAAATAACTTGTGTCCATTACATGTGTGAAGTATGCATGAGATACTAACAGCAGGGTCACAGTTTTGAGCCTCGCTTCTCTGAAAAAAAAAACAAAGATGTCTGTCTCTTGGCCACTTGACTCGGCAAGAAGCTGACAGTTTAGTAACCTATACAACCAAGTAAACTTATGACACTAATTCTGACAAGGAGAAGATCCCTAAAAACAAACTTGAATTAGATTCGGCATTCATTACTACTGATACATATAGTTTGGTTAGGAATGAATACAGCACTAAATTGTTCCATGCTTTGCATAGGCTGATAGGAACATGATAAGGGGAAACAGAATTGATAATCAAACCACGTATTCTGTTGCAGCTTATGCACTTTGATATCGGTTACACGTAGTAGTGAAGTGCTCAATAAAGTAGTGAGGGAAGGCCTTTTACTTATGCGCGGGGGACAATGGCGAGAGCAAGAAAGTTGTTGTTGTTGTTGTTGTTGGGCTTAACGTCATTTTTCAGCACAAGATAGGCTATTCATGGCGGCCAGTATTAATGGTGGAGGAAGAAACCGGGAAATCACCGGAAAGAACCACCGACCCACGAGAAGCTACTGGCAAGCTTTCTCAGAGCAAGAAAGTAAGGAAAGGAGCAAAAAAGCAAGGGCATATCGTTTCCACAACAATAAACACATGGTTACACGTGGTACATACAATAATTTCTGTCAAATTAAGAAATAGTAAAAATAGGAAAGGGATCTGGAATATTCAAGAATCCCCCTTTACAGGTTCAACTGTTTACAGAAATGTGAAAAATGAATTAATCAAGGTACATCTAGGGTCGGGGTTACGATACAAAAACCACTAACCTTCCAGACAATGGTGGCTGCAACGAACAGTCATATGCATGCCCATCAGACCGCCTCCGTAAATCCATATTGTGGGACCCATTAAGCCCTAGGTCCTCTGGAGCCCAAAGGGTCCATCTTTGGCCCGTTTCACGGCTGCCTTCGCCTGCAGTGGCTGTCCCATGTTCAGGTCGTATTTTGGGAAAATCATAACCATGATTAGATGATGTGACGTCAAATTTGTCATCGGACTCAACACTGGAGTCTCTTTCCTTAATATCCACAGATTCAATCTCCTTTCGATTTTCACTTGCATCACTGATCATTGACATGTCTTGGTTTCCACTACCCTCAGGTATCTTTCTGACATGAGAAGATTCTGAATGACCAGTGCTTGATTTTGGCTCATCTGAACCCCCCATACTCTTTTCTTGTGATTGGTTATCTGATGCTTCCGTCTGCTGGTTAGACTGGTTGTCCGCCTTTTCATCCTCTGTCATTATTTGGCTTATTATCTTAGATTCGTCAGTTGCAATTTCTTTTCCTTCTTCGGATTGGTAAAGTAACCGTGCATCCTCTGTAGGCAGGTCATCGAAATTTCCATTGTCTTCTAATGGGCTATCACTAATTCTGGATTCTTCTGACTCTTGGGAAAATTGGGAAAATGAAGTATCATTTTGCATCCTTCCATCACTAACATCTTTTAATGTATTTATTAATGACTCAGGCTCTGAGGGCAAAACATCACAACCATAAGTTTTAATATTTGATGTTTTAATACCAGTTTTCACCTTAGTATCTGAGCCATCGGACACGGCATATGTTGTTTTGAAACTTTCCTTATCAATCCCTATTTCCATCTTTCTCTCTGTGAAATTATGCTGAATACACCTTTAACGAGAATCCTTTTCGAAGAATAACCGTTACCTTCTATGTTTGGAAGTTTTGTCTCATCGCAAAGTTGACAATTTTACAGACGACCGACTACCTCAGCTTAAAATGCAACTTTTCTTGGCAATCAGTTTATGGTTGATGACTGGACGATTTCCATGGAAAATCAATTTTCATTATTTTGTCAGTGGACGATTTCCATGAAAAATCAATTTTCATTATTTTGTCAGTGGACGATTTCCATGTAAAATCAATTTTAATTATTTTGTCACTGAACGATGTCCATGGAAAATTAATTTACATTATTTCAATTGTCACACAGATACATGAAATCAT